ATAATTCCCTGAGTATTTCTCTCCCACCTCCTTATGTTATCACATACACAATAGTAGTAATAATAGTAATAATATTCATAAATTCTAGCATTTTGATCATGTCACTTTTCTTTAAATATATATATTTTAAATTTTCAATTGACACATGCACACATTTATGGGGTACAGTGTGATATTTCCTGATATGTATACAATATGTAATGATTGAATCAAGGTAGTTGGCTTGTCACCTCAGATTTTTATTACTTCTTTGTTTTTTTTTTTTTTTTTTTTTTTTGGTTTTTCTCCGGTATCGGGAACCCAACTCAAGACCTTGTGCTTGCCAGGCAGGCGCTTTGCCGCTGAGCTAAATCCCCAGCCCCTTTATTACTTCTTTGATGGGAGCATTCAAGAATCCTCTCTGCTAGCTGTTTGAAATATTCAGTTAATTGCTGTCAACTGTAGTTATCTTGTGGTGCTATGGAACATTAGAAGATATCCCTTCTATCCATCTACACCCTTGTCCCTATTAACTACCGTTAATCTAGCTCTGTTGCTACATACCCATTTGATAATCACTATTCTCTACTTCATGAGATAAACTTTTTAGTTTCCAAATATATATGAGAACATGTGATGTTTGTGTTTCTATGCCTGGTTTATTTCACTCAACACAGTCTCCTCTAGCTCTGTCCGTGTTGCTGCAAAATACAGAATTTCAATCTTTTTCTTTAAATAGTAAAATAATGTTCCATTGTTTATATATATCATATTTTACTCATTTAACCATAGATGGACACCTTGATTAGTTTCACATCTTGGCTATTAGGACTAGTGGTTCAGTAAACATAGGAGTGCGAATGTTTCTTCAATATAATGTTTTTCTTTGGATAGGTAATCAGTAGTGGGACTGCTGAATCATAAAGAATTCTATTTTTAGTTTTCTGAGGATTCTCTATGCTGTTTTCCATAATAGCTGCACTAGTTTACATTCCCACCAACTTACATGATTTCCTCTTTTTCTGCATTTTTACCAGCATTCATTATTTTTATTTCATTGATAATTACCATTATAATGGGACTGAGATGATAGCTCACTGTGGTTTTGATTTGGATTTCTCTGATGATTAGTAATCTTGATCAATTTTTCATATACTTGTTGACCCTTAGTATATCTTTGAGAAATGTCTATTTAGCTCATTTGCCCATTTTAAAATCAGGTGATTTGGGAGCTGGGGATTTAGCTCAGTGGCAAAGCGCCTGCCTGGCAAGTGCAAGGTCGTGAGTTCGGTTCCCGGTACCGGAGAAAAACCAAAAAAAAAAAAAA